AGCCATGTGCTCCTGCCTTACCTTGGCACCCATCAAGTGCTAGAGCCAGCCTGGGGGCTCAGTCCTGAGCTCCAGCATGGAAATGGCCTGACCTGGAGACACATTAGGGATGGAGCCACCAGCTCAGTGAGGCTTGTGTGTGCAGGAGGAGAGAGCATCCCAAGCCTCTGGAAGGTCCTGTGAGGGTCCTGTGTCCCTCTTGCCAATGGCACAGTGGGGCAGTGTGAGGTGGGTGTGTCACCTGACAGAGAGCAGGTAGGCATTGTTCTCTGCTCTTCTCTTCTGTTTCCCACCACACTTAACAGGCCCAGCTTTGCTGTGGGTTTTTCCTCTCCATTCACCAGCTCCTGCCAGCCCTGGAAGCTGCTGTACCCTCTCCCTCCCTCCCTGGCCTTTTCACACTGGAAGGGTTTTTAAAGGTCCTTCTAAGCAGCAGCTGCTCTGTGGCTTTTTGTTTTTTTCTGGTGTTTTTTATGATGGGCTGGAAATTAATTTCTTTTTCACTGGCGTTGGACTATCCATTCCCCACGTCACAGTGCAGAATGAGCTCGTAACTCTCCTGACTGCCTCGTGGCTGAGTTATGGGGTCTTCTGCAGGGTAGCCCAAAGGGTTTAATTTAACAGTGGATGTTGGAGGAAAGCAATGGAGTTCTGACAACTGTCTAGTGCTTTTGCTGTTAGTGCACTTGGAAAATTTTCCTTAATATCTGACTGAAAGGTTCCTTGTTTTAAATCAAGCTCAGGACTTGTCCTTTCCATAGATGGGGAAAGGTGGATGTTGTTTTTTTTCCCCTCCCTTCTCTTTTTGTTTGTCTGAAGACTGTAACCATGTCTCCATCCTCTCTAGACTGAGCATCACCAGTGCTTTCCACCCCTCCTTGCCAACTGTCTCCTATAGATTTCCAGTCACTGCTGTCTGTTTCCCTTGGACTGTCTCCAGTTGCTCACACCGTCTGGAAGATCAGCATCCCAAACTGGACAACAAATTCCAGCTGGGCCTGGAACAGCACAGAGACACAAGAGGCTAACTTGGACCACTTGCACTTGACATCTTTTCTGTGCTCTGATCCTGGCTGCCCTTGGCATGATCTTGAACCTATTTTGGGGCAAGTGGGGTGAAGTGCTTTGGTTGCTGTCTGGGCCACCTGTGGTGGTCTCCCTGTCACCTCACAGGGACACTAATAAGGCCATCTGCTGTAGGAGCCTGTGTCTCGGATCAGGGATGCTCGGGTGAGCTAATGGGAAAGGACAAAAGATGCCTGCTGCTTGCAGGAGCTGGAGCTTGTTAACCCTTCTACTTTCCTTCATGAGACTATTCACAGCCTGGTTTAATGTGCCTGTTAATGGTGAAATTGGTGGGGTTGTGTCCACTGGAGCGCTCTTCTCCTCACAGAACTGTGGAGGAGCCATGGGGAAAGAAACAAAGCCCTTGGGTTTTCCTCATCCCTAGTTCTGCCTTTCTGTAATTTATCCTTACAACCATCAGCAGACTTAATGTTTTTCTAAGGCCCAGCTCATTTTTGGTCCCCTTACTGAGTAATAACATCTTAAGGGCACTGTCCCATGGTTTTGTCTCTCTCAAGGCAGCACCTAATCCTGCAGTATTTGCTCGGCAGAATGGTCACTGGTTTTCCTGGACTTGCATGGAGGACATGGTATGGATCCAAGTGCAGTTCAGCAGCTGGGCTCTTGCACGAGGGTGATTATAAACTGATAGAATTTGTTATGTTGGAAAATAACTCTTAGATCATCAATTCCAATTGTTAGCCCAGCAGTAAAAAGCCCCCAAGTGTTTTGTGGACTAAACTATGTCCCCAGGTGCCACATCCACAGGTTTTTTGAACGTATCTAAGGATGGTGATTCCACCACTTTCTTGGTTTGCCTGTTCTGGTGCTTGACCACCCTTTCAGTGAAGAAATTCCTCCAAATATCCAATCTACACCTCCCTTGGCACAGCTTGAGGCCACTTCCTCTTGTCCCATCCTTATTCCCTGGGGGCAGAGCTTGACCCCTACCTGGCTACAGCTTCCAGTTGGGGAATTGTGGAGAGTGAGCAGATCCCCCCAGGGACTCTTTTTCTCCAGGTTAAAGAGCCCCAGCTCCCTCAGCTGCTCCTCATTGGTCTTGTTCCTCCTTCTTGACTTTGGGGTGTGGAGGACAAAGCTGAGGCATTACTTGTGAAGCAGGATGGCAAATGAGAGTCATGGACAAGAGAGAATTTGTTATGGTTGCTTGTAGGCCAGCCTGGCTGGAGGTGGAAGGAAGGGAAGCCGACAGCTGGAAAAGCAGCCCTGAACCTCCTGAGGGAAGGAAGGACTGAGATCCTTGAGTTGTTCTCCTCCTGTTCAGGACTGGGCATGGATCTGACACACCCTGGAGACCTTACAGCATTCCAGCAGCAGGAAATGCAGATGTATTCTGAGGGTCTGGAGCTACAACTCCTCGGGTGGTGCTTAAGTAACACTTGTCTCAGAGAACCTGAGAAATCCCTCTTTTTTCTGAGGAGCTCACCTCCAACTGGGTAAGGAAATCAGGATAACTGGCTTGTCTTGCCTTCAGCAGTGTATTTGAGGCAATCATCTATTTCTGGCACCACAAGTTCTGTGGGACAGCCCCTGTCTCTATGTCAAACTCATCTCCTGGAGCCAGGTGATTAGATGAGGCTCTTTTTCATCTAAGTGCTTTTTGTTTTGCTTTCTAATCTGTGGAGGGAAGCTGGCAGATGTCATCTTTAAAGGTGAGGAAAATGGAGCCAACATTTTGTATTCCAGAAATCTCATTATTTTCCAACTAATATACTGATTTTGGATGCTTGGGGTTTGGCAGCGGTGCAAGGGTCATTGCTGAACAAAGCAGAAGCAGGCCCATCCTGGAGAAAGCCTGCCTGGGTAAAAAAGCATTTTCTAAGAGTGGAAAACATGAATTCTGTGGGTCATGTCAAGGAATGAGGCCTTGTGGGTAATTTCCCTTTGGCTCTGACTTGATGAAAGCTTTTATAAAAGGAAACAGTGTGTTTTAAGAAGTTACTTGATACTTATCTGTCCGGAGTGCTTTTCCCAGGCTGGATTTGGGGAGGGATTATCTCAGATTTTCATTTAGTTCTGAAATCCTGGGTATTGGTTTTATAAACTAAAACCCCTTCGCAGCAGGTTGCTTGTTCTGTCTTGTTGTTTTAGCTTGATGCCTGGGAAGGAATTTAAATTTCCTGAACGGATGGAGCCTGCGCCTCGCTGGGGTAAATCAGCATCGTTCAAATATTTAAAGGCAGATGCATCAATACTGGCAGCTGAGGATCTGGCTTACTTTGATTAAAATCTGATCAAGATTACTCAGCCTTGCCAAGGGACTTGGATTACCAGTCTATAAAAAGAAGAGGAGGAGAGGAGAGGACATTAAATATAAAAATAATCCAATGAAGGACGTTAAGCTAAACTCACTGCAAATTGAACAATAATGAAAACATCCTCCTTAAGCAGGTGGAGGGCAGCAGGGCTTGCAGGCAAGCAGGAGGCTTGGAGGTGGGGTTGAGCTAGAAATATTGCCCTGGGGTTTCTCATGGGCATGGCCTCATCTTTTAAAGGCAGGGGTTTTTTTCAAAAGAGGGCCTTCCTCATTAAAAAAACCCCAAGGAAGCGCTGTGGGAGGAGATGTGGGTGACAAATCCTTCGGAAAATCCTTGCCTCTGCTTCCTCAGGAGACCTGGGCTAGTGCCAAATCTCACTAGCAAAGAGGTGATTGAAGCTGAGGAACAGAAAATCAACTCTCTTACAGATTGCAGAATGTGAAATGTGCTTTTGTCTTTAGGGCTTCTTACAGGGGTTGAATTTCAACTCTTCCCTTCCATCACAGCATTTTTTCCACCCTGGTTCTTCATTACTTTTTAAATGTAAAGCATACCCAAGGAATGTTATTATGCCATGGGATTAGGCTTGATAGCCAGTGACTGATGAGGACATTGCACCAAGCTCATTGCTTGCTGAGCCATTTCAGGAGCCTGTCCAACCATTTGGCACGTGTCTAGATTTCCCAAGATTTCTTATTCTTATGGTCTCTAAACCCTGGGCTAATAGAAAGTATCCCTGCCCACAGCATGGGCTTCAAACTGGATGATTTTTAAGGTCCCTTCCAACCCAAACCATGATTCCCTGTGCTCCTGTGAAGTGCTGTAGCTATTAGCAGGTCAGGCACACTTGGGGCCTAAACTTGTTGGGTTTGGAAACCCCCAAATCCCACTGAGGTCAGCAGTTTTTCCCCTCCTCTATGGAGCATGCTGGCTAGCTGGAATGGGAAGGAAGCACATCCCTTGGTGATCTCTGTAGAAGGCATGTGGGTGGAAGGAGATCTGTGGGGGTGCAGGACTTGAGTGTCCTTCTGACAGGCCATGTAGGGGGATAGAACATAAGAAAATAAAGATAAGATGACAACAGGGCACAGTGAGCAGGCTGCACAGAGAGCTGGCTGGTCAGGACTCTGGGAGCCTGGAGAGTGGGGCTCTTAAAACAGCCATGGAATCCTCAAATGGTTTGGGTTGGAAGGGACCCCAAAGATCATCTTTTTCCACTCTCCCTGCCATGGCTGGGGATGGTGACTTAAACTGACACATCCCAGGCTGCTGGAGGGAAGGTGACAAGGTGGCTGTGGGACCTCCTGAGCAATTGTATACATGGGTGGCCAGTTGTCTGGATTGCCTGGGTGCCCCAGCAGTGATGGCAGCCTGTCCCTTTTTCTTTAACCAGAATGAGGGTCGGATGAGGATAAGATTGTGTTTTAATAAATATTTGTTAGCAAGTGCCTTCCCCTCCCCCCTCCCCCCTCCCCTCTAATATTGCTCATTCTCCTTGCAGGAACACGTGCATTGTTCAGCTTCTGTTGCTCCATGTGTCGTGCTCCATTACTCCATCTCACAGAGCAGGAGGAGCACTGCCAAGGCTTTTTCTGGGAATTTGCTCTGGTCCTGCTCCTTCCCTGGTGGTGCTCAACTGATGTGGTTTGTTTGCAGGAGGAATAAAAGGCTCAGCTGTCAGAGACCAGGGCAAGGACCAGCCCCTCCCTCAGCTCTGTGTTACACAGCCATGGTAAGTTTTAGGCCGTGACTTTTGGGAGAGAAAAGTTGCTAAGCAGTAAATGTGGCCTTCTCACTGTGTTTTAAAAAGATGTGAGACTTTGCTTAAAGCATCCTTAGGATAAAGGTTCTTTCCCCCCCAACCTTTCTCCGGTGCAAAAACAGGGTCTGCAGAGTGGCTGTGATACCCTGTGAAGAGGCAGCCCTGTCTGAGGTGTGATTGTACTCTCACGGGGTGTGAAACAGTGTTTAAAAACGTGGATAATTGAAATGCACCGGGTGAGCATGTTTTTCAAACCCTTGCTTCTTGCTGGAAACAAGATTATCCTTACCCAGACTGAGTGGCTGCAGGGAAGGTGGAGCTGCAGCAGTGCCTGGGCTGTGCCTTGGTTAACTTGAGGCTGAATTTCTGATGACTCAGAAGGGATCCCAGCAGCCCCTCAGCTGTTTGCAGGTCTGAGGATCAGTGGTACTGTGCTTATGAACACAGGGCTGGCCCCAGAAGCCACCTCAGTCTCAAACTGCCTATGAAATGAAGCAGCCGAGGGCTCCCAAGTGTCAGGTTTGCACTCACGGGCAAGTTCCAGAGAAATAATAAGGTAGATGCTTATTATTTAATAAGAAGGTTCTTGCTGCTTGCTTCAGTTTCTTTCAGGCCATGGGAGGGAGCAGGGGAAATTTGAACCATCAGATGTACATTAGTAATGAGATATTAATGTTGTGCATGAGCAGGGGCTTTATTACTGCAGGAGCTGGTGGTACTGAGTGTCTTATACTTTCTGATTTATAATTCCTTCCTGATCTGGAGCCTTTGGTCAAACATCTTTGCACACAAAGCCTGAGGAATGGGATGGGAAAGCCCCTTTTTTCATGGGACATGCCTGCAAACCTCTGGTGCCAGGGCACACAGCATCAGAGCATTTGGTAAGCAGTGGTCAGTGGTTTGTGTAGCTCCACAACCCACACCTGTGCCTGCAGCATTCTTGGCCTGCAGAGCCTCTGTGCTTGCTCAAGAGGTGTTTTCCCTCAGGTCTGGCTCTTCAGGTTGTTCTCTGAGCTGTGCTTAAACCGTCTGTCCCACCTGGATTTCTTCTCTCCAAGAGCTGGACAGGGCAGCTGCCCACACTTGGTTACAGCACCCCTCCTTCTTGCCTTTTTTTCCCTGAGAAAAGAGGGTTAATGTGGCTTTGGCTCCTTTTTGCCCACCCCTAATCACTTTCCACCCTGATGGCTGATTGCAGCTCTGTATGTCAGAGACCTTCAAGATAACGAGCTCCTACCAGCTTGATATAAATAGATGGCCAGGGAGAAGACTTTATCTTTGCCCCTCTGTGCCAAAGGACTTCAATCCTTATCAGTGCAAGAGCATCTGTGTGTGAGAGAATGAGGAACAGAGATGTCATGAATGCCTCTGGGGAAAACTGTTCTTGGAGACAGTCCCCTCCTGCATCCTGCAGAATCCCACTGGGATGTGTAACTCCATGGGAAATGGAAGTATTGCTGGCCCTGCTAGGGGCTGAGCACTGTGTGAGGCTTTCTGTTGTTTGTTTTCCCTGCATCCTTTAATCAGAGGCTAGAAAAAGTGATGTGTGTGGTGTTGCCAGCCTGACTGTGAGCAGGAAGCACAGGGACAGGAGCCTGGTACTGGAGCAGAGGATTGCAGCCTGATTCCCAGGGGGATGAGGCTGTTTTAGCCTCTGGCTGGTTGATGGGGCAGCTTTCTCCTCCAGCAGCACTTGCTTTCCCTGGGGCATAGCCCCTGTTTCTAGGATGGCCCACCAGCTCATCACCCAGCTCCCTTCCTGCCCTCTTTGCCTTTTGCAGAGAGCTGTTTAATCAAGGGTGTATCAAAATCCATCTGTCTACGCTGGTGTCAACAACTTGGCTTCAGGGACATTTTAAATAATTTTCTAACTGAATTCTGTAATGGATTTTATTGCTGAGAGAATGGAAAGCAGGGCAGCAAAGGTGTTTTAATTACATCTGATTGTGGCATCTTGCAGGCTTGCCCTGTCAGTCCTTCTGGCACGGCACCATTCAGAGCCTGCTTCTGCCAGCATGGGCACATTAGCTAGAGGGGGGTTACTGATCACAGAGGAAATCATTGATATTTCACTACTGACATGATCTTGGAGCTGTGTCTTCTTTTTCTACCTTGCTTTTGTGGCATCAGCTTCTCCTGCTTTAGAGGATTCCAGTCCTATATCATGTCATTTGGGGGCAGGGAAAACCAGCCAGCTGCCCTATTATTGTATGGGCATCACACTGGGGTGGAGCAGAAGAGCTTTGCTTGCTCTGGAGGGAAGCTGTGTTCTGCAAGGGAGATGTCTCTCTGAACCCTTTCCCCAGCTCACAGCTTGGTTTCACAGCCTGCTAACAGCTCCCCTTTTTCTGGGTCAAGCAGGGGAAGATTGAAATGCTGTCTCCAGCAAGACTGCTTGGGGAAAGGAGGAGGGAATGTGACAGGAAAAGGCTGAGGGTCTCACTAGGCTGCAACACCTTTGTCAGACCCAAGGGATGGGATCAGCAGGTGGAGTAAGTCCTGGACAGGCAGGGGGGTAGTAGATGCAGTAAAGCACATTTTTGGAAGTGCCTGCTCACCACACAAGAGGAGCTCCAGCTGGGTACATGTGGGAATGCCAAGGACTATTTTATCTGTACATGTTTAAGGTATATTTTCACTGACACTCAGGGCTCATGGTCTCTGCAGTGATGCCTGTGTGTTTTCTGGAGCATTCAGCAGGTAGCAGCTCCCAGTGCCCATACTTTGAGTTGCCATTTCAAACTGCCTAATAGGTTTGAATCTAACCTGGGGTCTGGAGGAATGACAGTCCCAGGAGGAGGAGGGCAGAGCTGATGTCATTTTTCTACATGACTGCTGATACTGCCTCCATTCTTTCCAAAGCTTTTGGCTATGATTTAGCAGGTAGCCCAATCCTCAATATCCACAATTTTTCAATGTTGGAATGTGTCTGTGTTCCTGACAACACTCATCTGTGTCATTTCCTCCTCTTAATAGTTGTAAGCTCAGCTGCAGATGACAAGTGCTTTGTTTGTGACTCCTGGGTGCTCTGCACTTGATGCATCTCCCAACAGATGCAAGGCAAGCTCTGCTCCTCCTGTCTGGCCTGGCTTGCAGTGATGGATTAAGTGGGTAAGTAATAGAGTGGTAATGAGATAACCACTGACATCAAGCATTAACGTGGGAATAAATGAAGTTATCAGCCAGAACTAATGGCCTGAACTATCACTGGGTTGTAATTAATGAGTGTGGTGGCTGAGATTTACAAGGATATTTTAGGATGCTCCTTGCATGCAGCTTTGGGTTTTATGGCTTGCTTGGAGAGAAATTGGTTAATGCCAAGAACTTAATGAATGGGCAGAAGCTGTTCTTTGTCAGTTGGAAGTGCCCTTCTTGTGGAAGAGGCCAGAATGGCGCATGTGGAATATCTGCCTTTTCATTGTCTCAGGGACTGCAGGAGGGTAGGATGCTGGAGCCTCTCAATCTCTCAGCCTCTCCATGTGAGGTATCTTGCAGCTCTTGTTTTTTCTGTTTTATTAGGTCAGAGTAGGAGGAGTCCTGGTGGAAGCAGTGCCTCTGAAGTGAACCTATGGACAAGTTCCTTTGTATGTAGAAGAGATTGCCACTGATGTGAATTCTCTACCCAGGACCCCTGAACTGAGCAATGACAAGCTGCTCTGTTCTGCCCCATGAAGGTGGGACTTCTGGTTTCTTTTTCAGCTCTTCTCCTTCTTGCTGCTCTGATGTCCATCCAGCTGCCTGTCCCTCGTGCAGGAGTTTCCTGGAGCAGGACATGAGGTGTCCATGTCCAGAGGGCTTTGCCTGGACACCTCCCTGCTCGTGCAGCTCTCTGGGTGTGTGACCCTGCTTAATGCTTCTCTGACATGTAAGAAACACTTCAGGGGTGGTTGCTAGGCTGTTGCAGGAAACACAGCAGAGCAGTCAAAATTCTTCATGATAATTGGTGGGAATACTCCAGCCACCTCACTGCTGCCTTCCTCATCTTTCCATGGCAACCCTCCCTCTACAGCAGCCCAGGTGCTTGTGCTTGGATAGAGTAGGAGTTTCTGAGTCCTCTGTCTTCCAAATCACCCCTTGGAGCATGGAGGGAACATCTGTACTTTTAAAGTATGGGCATCATGTGATGCAACAAATAACTTCACTTGCTCTAGCCATATTCTTTTTTTATGCTGGCAGAGACAGAAAATTTTGGAAAGATGCCTGAATCAGACCCTTGCATGTCTGTGGTGTAGAGATGTTACCTTGTTTTTTCATGGGAAGAGAAAGGTGCAGGAAGACCTGAGTATTCCTTTCCCTTCCCATGGTCTGAGCCACCACACCCCTCTGTGCTGGAGAGAGGAGTGGGATCTTGAGACTCAGCATCTTGGTGAGCAGAGGGAAGGACAATCTTTCTTTCTCTGTCAGAGACAGCCTGGATGGAGCTGTGATGTCTCCTACAGGAAGCCAGGATGGTGGCTGGAAGGAACAGAGATCAGAGAAAGGGGTCAGGCACTGCCTCATCCTCATTTCTGCTCCCTGCTGTACACAAGAGATGCAGGAGACACAGGGAAGCTGCTTGTTGGATGGTGCCCAGCTCTGCCAGCATGGGCTGAGTTGGGCATTGCAGAGCAGAGGTATCTTCCTGCTCCCCGCTTCTCTGAAACATTCTCCATGCATGTTCTAGTACCATTATCTTTCCCCAGACTGTTTTACAGGCATTTTTAGTGATTCCAAGGGAAAATGAGACTCAACTGGCTGCTGGGAAACCCAGCCCAAAGCTGCCCAGACTTGGAGAGGTTGCCACTTTGTCTGGAAGCATTACTTATCCTTGGTGCAGGCTCTGTAACTCCCTTCCATGTTGAAAAGGAGGAGGAAGAAATTTCCATCAGGCTCAGAAAGTTCCTTTCCATGCTGAACAGGAGGAAGGAATTTCCACTTGCTGGGCCAGCACAAGCCAAGACCCAGAGTGAGCAAAGAATGGGCATTGTGTTCAGGGATGTGTAAATCCTCCACCCCCAGCCTCGGGGAGTTTATTGCCCTCCAGTGTGGCTGTCATTCCTGAGCAGCCCAGGCAGGCTGTTAAATGACAAGGGAAAATTACCCAGTCTGTTCTCCAGAAGGCAAGTGAGTAGGAATTTTCCTCCAACTGGTTCAGGACAAAGTTAATGTAGGGAAAGCCATTAAAATTAATGCTGGTAAACAAGAATAAAAACCAGCAGGGTTGTAACAAAATTTGTACCAGATTGGGTTTCCCAGCTGTCATGCTGCACGCTGTCTTAAAGGCAGGGGGCAGAGGGAGGGGGTAAGCTGAGCTCAGGCAAGTCTTGCTGGAGAGGCTGGAGGGTTGGGGCTGGGGCATCTGGGCTCATTTGGCACCATTTATGGTCCAGCCCTCCAATCCCCTCAGGCTGGCTGTCTTTTTCTGGGAAGCAGTGATGCTGGTTTCTCCAACAGCCACTACATATTTTATATATTCTTGTTATTCATCTGCTCTTCTCCAGAGGCTGCCCTCCCCATCCAAGCCCTGCTGCAGGGCTCTGGCAATGTGAGCACATGGTTTCTGGCTGCAGGTGTTTTGTGTGAACTGGTTTGGGAGCAGATCTTGGGCTGTTGGGGCAGTGACTTGCTCCAAAAAACTTATTCTAAGTTCAGATAGGAAAGGTGTAAAGAGGTACAGCTGTGTGTTACTGCTCTCTTCTAGGTAAGCAGCTTTTTCCAACCCCACAGTATGCTAACACGAGCCAGGCAACTTCTCCAGAGTGTTTGGCACTGGATATTCAGCTGACTTGGCACACTTTGGAGTAAGTCAAATCTAGTATAACCAATCCAGAATTGCTAGCCCCAGACTAGAAGTAATGCCCCATATTTTCAGGTGACTGGTGGTGGTGAGAAGGGAGAGGTACAAAATCAGTCAGCCACTTTCTTGTAGTGTCTGATGGAGTTGGATTGTATGTTTGGAAAAAATACGACAAGAGCCTGAGCGCCTTCAGCACAGATGCCAACATCCATAGAAAACTTTCTGCTCCACAAGTCAGTGAAAACAACAGCAGAACTATCCTTTAATTCCTAAAAAAAATCATATCCCTTGTATATCTTCCTAATGAGGCTGTGTTGGCTCAGAGCTCAGTGGTTTTGTGGTCAGGTTCTGCAGGTTGGGTGGGTTGTGGAATGTCCATGCAGCAGCTCACAGAGCCAAGGGGACCGCTGAGATAAGGAGCTGTGATGCCCCCAGCCCAGGGCAGGGAACTAGAGCTGGATGTCTGAAATGATCCTCTGTGAAGAGAAGGAGCAGAGTCTGGACAGGTCAGGCCTCTTGCTGGAACAGAAAGCAGCATGGAGAGAGGCCCAACACACAAATCCTCTTTTGGAGCCCTGTGGGAATCCACAGGCTGCCTCTGTGGGGAAGCATCAGCCCCTTTTCAGCAGTCAAGCTGCTGTCAGGTTGGTGTCTCAGAGGTGGAGAGATTTTCTTTTGTTTTTCATGAGGCATCACCAAAGAATAGGGGTGACAGAATTATTTTTGTGGAAGTAACTATGTGAACCATTTTTTTCTTTATTTGGATTATTTGAAAGCTAAAACTGTTCATGGGTTTTAAAATGCATGTCCCCGCCAGGTTGCTTTACTTTGTTTTGTTTCTTATTCCCTCTCCCTTATTCCTCAGAGGGAACCATCCAAACCCACACAGGGTGTTATTTCTTTGAGAAATGCAATCGTTTTGCAGTCAAACCTAGGCTGGAAATGCTGCTGGTGATTCATTTGTCTGAGAAATTTTAAAAGGCTTGGATGGAACAGGAACCAGGCTAGTTCAGGGAGAGTTTTCTTGTGTGTGAAGACCCACTTCAGCGGGGGAGTTCTTTTTTATTGCAAAAAGAAGTTTTTATAGGCTTTGTTGGGGATACTTGGGCTCCAGCCATTCTTCTGTATGGTACCAAGATCTGGAGCCTGGCTGCCCCAGTTCCTGCTTCCCACACCTGCTGCATTGCAGAGCTCCATGATTCCAGTGCCAGTTCCATGATTCCTTTGTTCTCTAGGGTCACTGCTTCTGCAGGGTGGGGTGGATATGATGCCATTTTTTGCCTTGACTTTGTCCCACAAGTTTTTCCCAAACACAAGTATCATAAGGGTGCACTGCTGTGTCTGGAGGGCAGCAGGCATCTCCTGCTAGCACATACTGAGGGGTCCAGGCCCTACATTCATCTTTAGGGTCTGCTCTAGCTCCTCCTAGCCAAGAACCTCTTTCTGAAGTTCCCAGCATCCAGTGAGGCTCAGAGCAAGGCAGGAAGGCAGATTCATGGCTGGTAACCACCACAAATCCCCTGCAGAAAACCTTTGTGGCCTCCAGTTTCCCCATCTATAAGCCAGGCATTTTTAAATGGTATGCTCTTTGAGACATGGCTTTCTGTTCCCTCAGACAGCAGGGACCTGTGGAAAGCCTCCAGGCAGTGGCTGAAATCAGATGAGCTGATCTCAGGTTTCTGTGGTTGAAGTGACTCTTGAGGTATTAGAGAGTCTTTTTCTCAGCCCTGTGACCAAAGAAGTAGTAGAGATTCATCAGTTCTGCTTTTCAAGGTTGTTTATTTTCTCTGATCTGTTCCATTCTTTCTCTGACCTGTTAATATCTGTCCAGCAGGTCGAATTGTGGCACACTGACCACCCTTGGGGTGGTGTTAGCTTTTTATACTAAGAACTACGTGTACTTTATTTACAATAATTTTCCAACACCTATCACCTAAGTTAGACAGTTTGTCTCTACCCTAAACCAATCCATAAGTGCCACCATCACAGCAGAAGAAGGAGGAGGACAGGGCATGCCCAGATTCCTCCATCTTGCCTCTTGAACCCCCATTCTAAATCCCCAAAATTCTACTTTTTCACCCTGTGACAAATTACCTATTATTCTACTCAAACTCTTGTGGCTTGTAAATCTTCACACAAAGTTGGTAATTGTTTCCATGAGCTAAAATCAAAGGCATAGGTGTTTTTGACTCCGTGCCAAGGTCTCTGAGACCCTTGCCAGGGTCTGGAATCACCCAGGGCAGCCAGAGCAATGTCCTGGGTTCTGACAAGCTGATATGTCACATGCCAAGAGTAATCCTCGTTTTTGGGGGCTGTTCTTAACATATCCATGGATGTCCCAGAGTTAGCTTGATAGGAAGCAAGGAGTACCATGGAAACAGGACTGGGTGAGATGCTTGGGCAGTGGGGAGCCTTGGCAGGGCTCAGGAGTGGTGACAAGTGTGACAGTGTTTGCAGGGGTCCAAGGATGAGGGAAGAGGTGAGGATCTGACTCCATGTTTCAGAAGGTTTGATGTATTATTTTATGATATATATTATATTAAAACTATATTAAAAGAATAGAAGGAAGGATTTCATCAGAAGGCTAGCTAAGAATAGAATAGCAAAGAATGATAACAAAGGTTTGTGGCTCGGACAGGGAGTCTGAGCCAGCTGACTGTGATTGGCCATTAATTAGAAACAACCACATGAGACCAATCACAGATGCACCTGTTGCATTCCACAGCAGCAGATAATCAATGTTTACAATTTGTTCCTGAGGCCTCTCAGCTTCTCAGGAGGGAAAATCCCAAGGAAAGGGTTTTGCAGAAAATATCATGGCTACAGACAAGTGCCAGTCTGCCTGGAAACAGAGCAAGAAATGGGCAGGATAGAGGAGACCACCATTCCTTGAATGAC